TGGTCCAAATTGGGCATAGTAAAGGAAGCCAGATCCGAAGGGCAACTAATCCACTACAGAAAGGTCAGAGCCTGCACACTAAAAGGAGGACAGAGGGACAACCTAGCTGTACCTCCTAGCCCAAGCAAAATAAGATTATACAGACCAGACCTGGACATAAAAGAGCTGGAGGTGGATCCAGCAGAATGGGGATGGCTGGTACCCAATAAGTCATGGAGTACCAGAAAATTAGTACCACTCTACGAGTACGAAGTCAAAATAGGATATAGACTAAGCAATAAAACAACAGACCCACTACCAGTAATCTCAGAAAGGTGGAAAAGGAACTTGGAAGATAGTGAGGGCTGGTCAAATCCAATACCGTGGGGGCAATATATGAACATACGCCCAGCAAGGATCAGAAGCCTTCAATGGCTCATAATTTACTGGGCTCTCCCAGTCAACAAATGGTTAGCGAAGAGGAGAAAGCAGGAAGAACCCACGCAACTGAGTGCTCAGTGCAAAGTATGCAGCGAGGGAGTGGAGGAATCACTGATACACTGCCTGATATCATGCCAAAGAGCGCAAAACACATGGGCGGAAATAAAGAGGTGGTGGTCCAAGCTAACAGGAGGAGAGTTCCCGTCCAACCCGCTGTACCTCTTGTCGGGAAGGCTGGAGAACGAGGCTGCGGAGGTAGGCTCAGAAGCAATAGCGGAGCTTTGGAGGAGAGCAACCCTATGGGAGATATGGAAGGCAAGGTTCAAAACCACACTAGAAGGTCAAGTCACAAGTTTGGAGGAGGTAAAGGAGGGAATCAAATCCACAATACAAACAGAATTACGTGCCCGGTGGAGGAAGGACCTAAAGGAGCAGCAAAAGTTATCGCTCCCAGAAAAAAGGGAGTCAAGGAGATCTACCTTCACTAAAACATGGCTCCTGGGAGGCAGAATGGCCAAGCTRGAGGGCGACAATCTAAGGTTCACAAACTGGGACGAAGCCAYGATGCCCCTACCACTRTAAACACGGAACGGCTCCCAAACACCCTACTCTTTCCAAGTGGAAATAATCAGCAACAAGAGAGGCTTGACATAACCTCCCCCAACGAACATACAGAGAGTCAATTATCCAAAGACCAAGAAGCCAGCTAGTCTTTAGCTGTACACACTGGAAAAGCCCCTAACACAGTATTCCACCAGGTGCTGGTGCAAAAAACGCGACTAACTCCCCCCTCCCCACTTCTCCGATCATCCACGTATTAACCCCTTCCCCGGAGCACCTCTTCCTTCAATCCTATCCGACTAACACCCCCATTCAAAGACTGGAATAACGGGATCCCTCCAACCCTGAAAGACGGAAATGGAGATCATATCAAGAAGGAGACAGGAGACGACGCGAATGAAGGC